GCGTTCACCAGAGAACGATCCACAGTTTGCACCGTTACGTTCGCATGGAAATCAAGTTGCAAAATAGTAAACGAACCTGTCGAATCAGAATGGATCGACGCGTTGATCATTCCATTCACATGCATTCTCGTATTATTTATACTGATCGTTAACGCTTGAATCCGCGATGCTTTTTGACGTAATGAGATTCGTTAATTCGTGATAACGTGAAAAATGTGATCGAAATATGATGTATATGAAGCATCAATTCTGTAAATTTTATATAAGTTTTATATAAGATTGATTTTATAAGGTAAATACTGCTTCTGATAATTAATATAATAATTATATTATGCTATAATTTCATTATTTTAAGCCAACCAAAGTGAAAGTATAAAAAATATGGAGGAAAAAATTCTTTTCTTAAATATCAATTTTTCAAAATAATTTTTATACGATTTATGCCACATATGATTTTCAATTCCTCTACATTATAATGAAATTCATGCATTGGTTCATCGCATCAACACAATTTCATCGAGATAAAATTCTTCTAAATTTATTACAAAGATCTATCAAATTTAAATGATAATTTCGAAATGATCGAATAATTTCGAATACATTTATTATTATATTATCGAGAACATTAATCACAATATCGAATTAATCACGATAATAAAAATGAATTTTCAAACGAAACGATGATACAGAGTATAAATTTTAATATTATGCAGTTGGTTATTTTGTAATATCGTTTTATAAATAATATAATATCGACTATCAAAATATTGTCGATAAGACAAGATTAAAATAGAAGGGAAAAGAAGAAAAAATGAAAGAAAGTTGGACTTTTATTCGACAGATTTGATTAATCGCGAAACGAACGTAATCAATATTCGAGCCGTGTCGATTACGAGCGTGGACCAATCACGCGATACAAAAATTTCATTTCGCGTGAAAGATTACAAGTCGATGGATACTTTCGCGTTTAACGCTCTAATTAACCTCATCGTCTCGTAAATATCGACTGTATTTTAACCCAAATCGCGACCACACCGCTCGAAGAGTATCGCCTTGTGAATTTTCGTTTGGACAAGTTTCGCAATATTTTCGCAAGAAGCGCGATTCACCAATGCAGAAAATTTTCCCCTGCTATTTTATTGAAACGTGATTACAAAATTGAAAAGCGTACCGCTTAATTAATCAGTTAATTAATCTTTTCGGCGGAGCAGTGCAAAACTCGAAATTTAATTAAAAACCATTGAATCGGACGGGTTGATATCCTATTGTAGATTTTGTTCGTGCGGCACGATACGAAATCATCGATTGTAAACACGATGAATACGAGCAAGAGAAATATATTTTTTAGTTGTTTTTAGTTGCAGTCTTTGAATAATCGCAATTCCAGTAAAATTTAATATTGACACGATGCGAAGTTTAACATTTAACACCAAACTACCCCTAAATATCATTTCACTATTACATGCAATTTTCATTCTCATCGTCGAAACATCTTCGAATCCACTACTATCCACTATCGTTTCTACTCGCTTTGCTATCGATTCAATTTTATTCTCGATCCAAAATTATTTGCAAAAGGCTTAACATCGAAGCTTCGCAAAAGCGAGGCCATAAATTATTGCTTCGCAGAACGAGAACCAACAACAGCAACAACCCACAACGAGAAGGAGAGAATAAACAGGAGAAAAGGAAACATCGAACCGTGAAACAAAGAGTGTGTACGTGCCAATTCTCTTCACGGAAAAGCAAGGAGGAAAATATATATTCGACCGATTACGCGTGTCACGATCGAGCGAGATATCGGAGCGGGTGAACACGGGCAGAGGATTAAGCGAGCTCTTTCCCACGATTCATGCATCGAACAACGCTAATTATCTCGATTACGGCCAATCGTTTCCGCCTTGGATTATTAGTCCTGGTGTATTAATGGCGGTGGATGGATGGATCAATGGAGGATAACGCCAGGATTCAATGCGGGTTCTATAAATACGTGACGGAACTCGAGCTTTGTGTTTCTGTTAATTAATTAATACTAAACGATTCTGGCTATTTTTTCTAGCAATTTTGAATTCGAGTGGAAAATCGAGAAATCTTGAAATCTAGTTTCAAATTATGGCCTGATGTAGATTTAGATTTCATGCTATATACAGTGTTTGGATAAAGGGCGAAAAGGTGACGATATTGGAGCAGAGAGAGAGAGAGAGAGAGGATTAAAAAGTTTCGCAAAACTTCGTTTAGTTTGATCCTGACATTAATCTTGATACGAGTGAAATATTATTCGAAAGTTAATTATTTATTATCTTTAAAGGGGGGCGTGTCACGATTAATCTGATAACGAAACTTTATTAATCATACGCGAATTAAAGCCGATGAAACGATGGCAACACGATAAAAGCAATACCTCGAAATTTCCGCATATCGTATCAATTCAATGAATTTGTTCAATCAACCGACCGGAAGGATCCTCTTCGTTTTATAGAGTTCAAAAAAACTCGTGCCCCGCACTCGACAATCAATTCGAATACGATTAAAGTGTGGAACAAAAAAAAAAAGAAGGAAAATAAACGATAGAAGAATCTAATTGACCGAATTTTTATATCATACAATGATACGATGGTAAAATTCTTTGTTCTTCTTCAATAAAATGTTGAATAATTTGCAAATTATAATTATCGTACAAATTTCTTCTCGGCAACAATTTAATTTTTGCAGCCCAAAAATAAATATTTGAAATGTGTTTGAATGAATTTTCTCAAAGTATCGATTTTGTCTTTTTTTTTTTTTTTGTATACCGATATAAAATACATTACTTCAATATTATTATTATTATTATTAAGAAAAAAATACATCATTCTAATTGCGGATAATTCCATTCTCACGTCCTACTTTATAATATGCGAATTATGACGTCGTCATAATTTACGTCAAAATCACACAACGCGCCGACAAACTTCCCACTTCGTTCGAGTCGCCGAAAAAACACTTCCAAAGCGTGTCCCATTGCACGACAGACATGTCAGAAATCGAGTGTCATTAAACTGTCCACGGTGTTTTCGTCGAAAACATGCATTGAAAACGCGTTCGAACGCGTCTCTGTCCGATATAACGGTGGCTCGTTCCACTGATTCTGGCAGCTCTGAGTTACGCCTCTACTACTGGGACTCCCCCTCGTGCCTGCAGAATTATTGCTACGCCGGAAGTTTCCAGCTATGAATCCTGTTCCTAAGACCAACGGTGGAAAGATATACGGAAGGTTGGATGGAAAATTATTTTTATTCCGGGTTGGCAAGGAAGAATCGTCGTTGTTCGACTTAAAAATTGAGCGACTCTGGCAAATTTCGCAAGAATCGATAATAAATTTATCGGTTTTTTTCTTTTTTTTTAGTTTTTTGAAGAATTTTTGAATTATGGTATATTTATTTTATAATTTTGTAAGTGGATGGAATTTTATTGCGTTTGTTGGAATATATTTTGGATTCATATAGATATTCAAAAGGAAGATTAATACAAATATATCTATTTATTATGATAGAATGATACGAGAATAGAAAATTTCTATTTTTCGATGATATTTATATAAAGCCAATTTTATCAATTTATTCGTTTAACGAGGCGAAAGTTCTCGACTGAAATAACAATATCTTTAAATATAAATTTAATAACTGAGTTGCGTCTCGAGGGTGAAAAAATTTTTCCATTTGTCTATTAAAAGAAATAAAAGTAATACAAAGTCGATTCGTCGCCAATAAGGGAAGAACTCGTTTAGCCCGATGATATATCTCATAACGCGTTATTGCTTTGATCCAATTAAGAATTATTGGATTCCAACACAGGTATAGAAAAATGCCGCGCAGGAATGGCGGATATTCCGTATTTTTGCCCCGGTGACCCGATTCTCACAAGTGTTAATCAACATCGTAAAACGCTTTTTCGTTTGAGAAAGTTAATAGAGTTATTTTCGCGCCGCTAGAGTGAAATTCATTTACCACGTACATTTACGAAGCTTCTGTCGATGATATCGTGTTGTAACGAAAATGAATAGGAGCTCCTCGAAAAGAGGGATGCAAAATTGAAGAATAAAATTTTCACTATTAATCGTGCGAAATTTTTACAAAAGCTTTAAAAAGGAAAAAAGGAAGAGAAAAAGGAAGGATAGATAACGTATTTTTCAAATTTATTTCTACTTTTCGAACATTGCTTAAAAAGAATTTAAAATTTAATTAAAAATTCTTATATAATTAGATTACAAATACTTATGCATCTATACAAATTCGGAATGGAACGAATCACTTGAAGAATGCATGTGACACACTTAAAAGAAAAACACAAAATTATATCCAAAAAATATCATATCACGATATTCGAAGAATAAAGCGAATCTTTATATAAACGTTATTTTTTTATCCACAAAACTTTCACATAAAAATTTACAATCTAATAATAACACAATTGAGATTATAAAAATACTAAATAAAAAAAAAAGAAAGAAAAGAATATTCAAACAAATTTTCGACAAAAGAGATTTCAAGTTGAACGTTTCTCTGTATCAATCTCGTCCACGCGTTGATCGAACGAACGAACGAAGGAAGGAACGAGCTCGTGCGAATTTCACAGTCGATTTCCAGCAACGATTCCATTATCTTCTGCGAGAAAAATAGATTTCATTGCGCGTGCCATTACGCTCGTTGCAAATTATTTCAACGTGGATGAGTCGGTGGATGTTTATCCCGGAAACACGCACGAAATTTAAGCGATGGAGGAATTTCTCTCTCTCTCTCTCTGAGATAAGTTTCGCCGATTTATCCCCCGGAACACGTAGTCATTCATCGCTTCCGTGCTTCTCCATTCTCTCATCACTGCCATCGTCAACGTTCGGTCATTGATTATCGATTATCGGTTAAATTACTTTTATCGCTATGCCCGATTGTTATACCTCGCGCAAATTCATCAGGAGACCGTTTCTCCTCCGAATCGATGACGCTGGTAACGAGTCTTCCTCACAATTCGAATGTCGAATATCCATCGAAATAATAAATTTCTCTCCTTTGAATCGTGATTCGTGACCGCGTTCAATTTTTCGACGATTAAATATTTTCTACACGTGGATTCGACTCGCGAAGATTTTTTAACAAATGGATGGACAGTGATTATTATCGTTCTTTGCCACTGATGGAACATTCGTTCGATTTGATCGATGATTTCGTATTATATTTTGCAGAATGATGGCAAAAATAAAAAAATCTCACCTGCCACGGGACATTTAAAAAGTGTAAAGTTTAATAATTAAATAAGTTGTAAGCGATTAATCAAGTTTATAAGTTAGCCATCGCGAATAAAAATTACTATCTACTTGTCAATTTATCGATAATTTATCAATTGACGAATAACTCGAACTTCCTTTCAAGTTTATTAAAAAAAAAAAAAAAAAACAAAATTCAATCGACGAAATCGTAACTTTTTAAAAAAAAAGAAAGGATAGAGAATACACGAATAAATCTTTCTCAAACAAATTCATCAATCTAAATCTCGAATGTCGTGCAAAGTTCTTCAGAATTAATCACTTCAGATTTTTTTTTTTTCCAAAGAAAACACGAACAAGAAAGTCCCTAATCTGTATCTTCGAATAACGAGAAGATAATCAATGAAACTCTTTCTCGCGCAATATCTCTTCCTTTTTCCTCCCCTTCTCTTCTTCGAGTCGAAATTTCACGATGAGACATTCCATGCGAATAAATCGCCTCGACGAGCAAATAAGCAAATCGTGTTCCATGTGTTTTTCCCTTATTCTTCGTACTTTTCGCATCCCCCTTTATCTTCCACGTTTCTTTTTTCTTCCTGTTATCGATAAAGGCGACAGCGTGGAATTAATTTCCAGGAAATTATCGAGTTCGCTCGCGATGCGAAAGACACGAATGCAAAATTTGCCTGCATCGAAGAGAAGAATTATCGCATTGTTTTCGAATTTATTCGTTTGAGCAGAAGTTAATTGTTAACTGCGTCCTTTTGACTCCTTCGTTAGACGTAATTGGCAATTAATTTGCAATAGTTGATTTGAGATGATTAAAATGATTTACAGCGAAGCTTGTACACTCTCGTTTAGAAGTTTCGAATCGTACAGTCGGTTACGAAAATTTTCAGGAAAATTCGTTTATTTAGAAAAATCTAATTTTAATCGTGTCTACGTAAAGTATTACTTTTTTACGAGAGGAATTAATTTATTATTTAAAAAAAAAATGATTTTAATATTTTAAGGGTTGGTTTTACTCCTTAAAAACGATTAATAGAAGAAATTTATCCACGCATAATCCATTACGGTTTATACACTCGTGTTTCACATAAATTATTCCTGTTTTTGATAACACGATTTATCAATTGAACTTTCACAAACTCGAAGACTTTTTATAACCGACTGTTCATTTTATTCATTGATCCCAAATGGGAGAGAAAATTATCTCGATTGTTATCCTTTCAAAATAAAACTCCATCACCAAATAAAACCAAAAAGAAAAAAAAAATAACTCGACGCGCCACAAAGATTCCTCGAAAAAATCGGCAGAACTTGGCAAACTTTCTTTCCTCCCCAAAGAAACGAACAGGATCGTTTAACACTCCTGTCAAATTTCCGCCAAACTTTTCCTTTCTTTGAATTAACATCTCCCTCCCTCTTTCTCTCTCTCTCTCTGTGAGCAGGAGATTGATACATTCTCTTCCCGACTCGACGATTCTTAACCAACCGATCCCGACATTCCTCGCATTCCGAACGAATGCACCGGTTGGAAATCGATCGTGGAGCGCAATTTACGCGAGTGCGCGCATCACCCGTGATCACGCAATTTCGTGGCCGTTTCGAAACCTTGGCGTGGTTCGATCGGCTCTGAAACGTAATATCGAAGCCTCGATGCGTTTTATCAACTCGAGATACGAGAGAGAGAGAGAGACTCGATTCGTACCGGTTACGTAAGCCGCGTGCTATCGTTCTATCAGGGCCGTGGAAAGCCTAGACAGAAAGCCTTTCTTTCTCTCTCTCTCTCTCTCTATGATGCGATATTCGATGCAATCGAGACGGGATATTGGATGGTATAATCGTAGAGACGCGATTCAGGATGGTTAATTGCTTATTTCTTTTTTTTATGATTCTTTTACTCGTGTTCTCGATGATTCCGTGTGTTATTTTCGATTTTATTTTTGATTGCTTGATTGATTCTATCGATCGTCGCGGATTGAGCAATTTAGAGAATTAAGAGATTAATTTTCTGATGATAATTGTAGAAGCGGATAAATTTGGAATCGTTAATATCTCTAATCTTTTCTTCCAGAGAGTAATATTCTAGAAATGAGAAATTTCAATGAAGAGCGATCTGTAGGAAATTCCCGCCTCTATTTCCAAGATAAAATTACGCTATAAAAATCGATAATGTAATGAGCGATCTATAAAAAAATAATTCCCATACATTTTCCATCTATTTCCAGGATAAAGAGTTCCTTTCATCGGTTTTATCTGCCCCGCTATGCTTTCCGAGAATAGCATTCGGGTTAATTAAGTATCCATAACAGGAAACGTGTATCGATAAAAATCCAAGAAAGAAAGAAAGAAAGAAAGAAAGAAAAGAAAAAAAAGAAAAGAATCGAAAAGAAAGAAGAAATAACGAAGGAGAAACACTTTTACTTTTATCGCGACTGTAACGAGATCCTCGCCCCCCTTTTTTTTGACAGATAAAAGACAAAGAAGCTGAAAGAGCACAGCCCCTGTTAACACGCAGGCACAGAGAGACTATTCCGGCTAATGCATAAACGAGATTAAAACCGCATCGAGATTGCATTTTGACAGAAGGAAGGCGCGGTAGTTGGCTCAAAAGGAAATTTGAAATTTTGACTCCGCTAATGGATAGCCCAAGGAAATTGCATTAGCAAGTAAAGCTAAAAACCCTTATAAACTGCCGTGTCGAATGAAATAGAAGCCAGCCCCTTCTTGCCGAGAGGGAAATCTTGATGATAAAAATTACGCAGGATCGGAAGAATTGTTTTCGTTCGAAGAAGAAACGGATTTGAATATCGACGATGTAATTAACGATACTGCTTTCTCTGTAAATTTAGATAACGCGATGAGATAAGAACATACTTTCTATCGGACGTGGCCAGACGAGATTCGAATACTTTGTAAAGAAAGAAAGATTTAACTATTTTTGGATAATGGATAGTATGTGGATGGAATATAAAATTTTTTTCTTTGAGAAAAGGAAGAAGAGAAGTCACTTTATTAATAGCACTTAATCTTGAATCGTTGATCGAATTTGAACTTTTATCTGAATTGTAGATATTAAATAAATCATCGTTGAAAATACGTCTCAGAAATGATCCAGTTTGGGGGATTACGGTTATTTTTTATACTTCCACGAACGAAGAAAAGAAAATTATATCTGGAAAAAGAAAGATCTTGTATACATGATTTTGATTGCGCAAACTTTACAACAACTTTGCACAATATAAACAAAACAAAGTAAAATAAAACAAAAGTAATGCCATTCATCACTTTACATGCATTTTCGTTGAATATAAACGACTTACAAACACGACTTGCATCCAGTGTGCACAAGCTCAGCCAAGAAGTTTCAAATATATTATTATTTATGAAACTGTATTAAATCATAAAATTTGCATAACAGAACGCAAAAAGAATAAAGATGCAGCGATTAAATGTAATTCATCATCCTTCACAAGCGTCCTTCCAATCGTCTTTTAACACATGATCGATTCAAATTTCAAATCGATGGAAACTGTCATTCATCAAAATTTGCAAAACGGTAGCCAGGGATTCGATTAAAATCTGTTCCAAGCGAATGGAACAATTTCCTTCCGAATCGGAACCAGGGGTAACTTCGTTTAAGGGACGGCGCCAGTGGTACGAGTCAACGATTTTAGAATTCAGATTCCATTCATTACGGGTAAGAGGAGAGAATTCTCATAAAAATCGAATCGCGACTTCTTCCTCCCTGAATTCTATTCAGTATGCAACTGCGAAGGCGTCTGGTTTATTCTTGGGCGAAGGACTACTCGAGATAAAGAAGGAAAGGGGGGAGGTTGATTTACATGATGGAAAACGCGACCTTACGATCCTTCCTGATTTATTCGATCTCGGGTTCGAGGTTTTCCTCCATCGTTAAAAAAGAGCGAAGCGATCAATCGTCATTGACAGATCGATGTTTTGAATAGCCAAACCGATCAAGATGTCGTTTCTGCATGTTTCTCGAAGTGTTGGTGCTCTCGTGATCTCGAAGATTTACAGAAGGATGGAAAAGTTGAATTGGAACAGACTACGGAGAATAAAATTTTTGTAAATTATGAATATTTATTTATTTATTTGATTTGAATCGATCGTAATTACGATGTCTTCAATTTCTTCTCTAGTTTTACTTTCATTGAAATAGTTTAATTATTTAAATTACGAGAGAATGTTTAAAAGTGTTTTCCACGATGCTCATTCCTATATTTAAGCCATAATTTAACTCCATCGAAGAAAAAGTAAATAAATAAATAAATATAAAATTTTCAGGATCCCTGTACAATTTTGCAAGCACTCGAGAAAACTTTCGCGAAACACTTTTAGAATCGGGAAATATAAGGAACGCAAATATTAACACACGGGATCTCGGGCTAAAAGTATACCAAAATATCGACATTTCTCTCAAAGAGAAGAATCTGATACTACTTCCAAAGAGGAAGAGTCAAAGAAAATTCGAAACGAGGAATTTTTCACTTATACATACACGAGATCGAGATCAACGATTCATACAATTTGCTACCCTCTTTAACTTGCATCTCTCTTGCATTTTCAGTTCATCTAAAGATTATTTTTTTTTTTTATTTCCTCTATCTTTCCACGTTCTACTCAAGAAATTTTTAACAATCGTGCGTTTTATAGTATAGGCGGATGATCGTAATGAAACGTGAATACGAAGGGCAGTTGCTCGCTTCTTGTCTTCTGTTTCACGATTAAAACGCCATTGCTGGATTAAACGGAGGCACATAACTCATCAACGCGAGTCAGATTAAATTCCAATGATCTGAACGGCCACTTTGCATCAAAGATTCTGGAAGCAAGATTTATGGGATGCATCATCATCGACTGTTAGGCATCTTGCCAACCTAATAAACCGGAATATGACGTAATATTATAAAGCGAAGATAAAAAATCTGTTTCTCTCATGAAAAGTAGAATGATTTTTAGAATAATTTTCCTTTTCTGGTGAAGAACTTAGAGAAAAAAGTTATGGAATTGAGATAATAATTTTTTCGGTTACTTCATTTAAGTTTTAAGTAAAAGAAATATATTGTTGAAAAAAATTAATTAATCGTATATCTGATTTTCTGAATAAGGTTACGCAGAGAGGATGTTCGGTAAAGTTTTGAAGCTTCACAATTCAAGTACAGTGCATTTAATTCCACTTAAGCTTCTCTAAGGTAAATGCAGTTGAACAGCTACTACAACAAACAATTCAACTTTGAGACAGTTTCTAAGACCGTTGCGTGTTGCTACGAGGAAATGCAATTTTGATAATGACATCACTTCTTAACCGTGAATATTTATCTATCATAATAGGATCTAAATTGAATTAGATCGTTATTTTCATCGAGAACAAACGAGAATACACCGTTTCCTTTTTATCGTAGAATATTTGAAATTTCGCAAAATTTTGCAAGGGTAGCAAAAAAAGGATTTCTTTTTTTTTTACTCGATTAATATTATTCGAATATTATTCGAAATCAATCTCAAGATTCGAAACTAAACTGCCGGAAACGAATCACTATTCAAATATTTCTCCTCTCGACTCTCAATAATATCTCAAGAATCTATTTCACCGGAATTTGTAAGATTTTGCAAGGGAACGAACAACTATTCAAATCTTTCTCTCCTCTCGACGATATTCCAGAAATTTCTCAAATCTCTTTTCACCTCGATACACCAAAATTAACCTCGCTAATTTTCCTGTTAAAAATATCTCTCAAGCCTTATTTCATTCATTATTTCATTCAACAAAATTAGAAAAAAAATCTATTTTCTATTTTTTCTCCCCAATCTCATTTCTTCTCTCACCAATCCACCAGAATTATCAAGAAATCTTTGTTTATTCTTCTTTTCGCATCGATAAAAATAAAATTCGAACTCTCGAGAAGAAGCAGTGAGCAATGGGGAAGAGAATTTGTGAAATTTCTCTGAATTAAATCAGGAGTGAATCGGTAACCATCCAATCATCGTTCACAAGTTGCTGCTTTCTTACTCGTCCTCATCGGGTCGCATCGAAAATCGGCAAAAATCGGCTGGGAAAAACACGGTGAAACAAAGGAAAATGGTTCGACCGTTTCAAAGGACACGCGTAAAGGGGCAGGAAAACGGATTAAACTGAACCGTGAAAAAGAGGTTGCAGATTCCATCGTGACGGATAAAAGTGAAAACTTTCGTCGAATTTTACCGGTTTCACGGTGGTTGTGTGGGTCCTTTGATGATACCACTCTGATAACGAGGTTACTCTGCCCTTGAAAGAGATTTTTTAAAAGTTTGATTGATGGGGATAGGGGATCGAGAGTTGAGAATATTTTGAAATAAATGCTCTAAGATCTTGAACGAAATGCACGTGCTTGGTGCAACCCTTTGAAATTTTCCGATGGATAGTTGAAATTTAACTAATTATTATTGAAAAAAAAAAGAAATGTAAAAATGGACTGATAAAGTTGAGAATATTTTGAAATAAATCTAATTCTAATCTTGAACGAAATGCACGTGCTTGTTGCAGCCCTTTGAAATTTTCTTTCTCGCTAAATTTTCCGATAGATAGTTGAAATTTAACTAATTATTATTGAAAAAGAAGAAAATGTACCGATACTATTATAGCACGTATAGTACGCTTAGGTAAATAGAATTCTTTAAATTTTTCTTTTTTGTAAATTTTTAATTTACAAAATAGATGTATCTTTTATGAGTTTTATACATACAAGATGTAAGATATAAATGGATAGATTGTCATAAACAAGGAAACAGAGAGAAACAAGATTTCATAGAGTGTCATCGTTATTATGAAATTGTCGAGTTGATAAAACACGATTCTACGTAAGTCTCTTTGTGAATTAATGTCACAAAGAAGCTAAGTGAACTGAAACGCGAAACTTCTTCCACTTCCTGTCCGTGCTTCCGTGTTATTACATTTTTAAACACTTTTGAGGCAAATGAAGCGGGAAGACTTTGATAAAAAGTTGCGAATATAATCGAACTTTTACAACGAATTATTTTAATCGGAGAAGAGCGTTTCGTTTATTAATTGCTTGAAGAAAGAGAATAATTAAAAGATCGATTCAATCGGTATTATTTTCTGATCGTCAAATTTCGAATTCGTCAAATTGGAGGTTGCGGTTCATCGATCCGCTCATTGCGCGGCGCAAATCTCGCGACATAAAATTATCAACGGATTCGATAACTAGACTTTTCCTTCATCGTGGAAAATATACCATTTGTGGAATAATCAGATCGCTTGGATATATTATTTCCACGATTCGATCTGATTCTAAAATAATTCGAGTCCAAGGAGCTTTTTTTTAAATTTTGCAAAAGATTGAATTGAGACGAAAAGAGAAGAATATCGTTATTTGCACGATCGGAGGAAATAGAAGATCTTCTCGATTTCGAAACTTCGATTTGGACGGATGCAAGTAGCCTGCAGTCATGAAATAACTGTGCGATTCTCGCGTGGACGTCGTTCAAACGTGTTCTTCGTTTTTTGATAAGCTTGAAAGAAAGGAGGGAAGGGAAAATGTATTCGGGAGCACAAAAGGATACTAAAGGCATTGATGAAATATGCAAGGTGGACTACTAACTATTACCTCTGAAACGCTACACGGCCCGTCTGAATGGGGGGCTCAAAGATTCGGAGACAAAGAATACAATGGAATTTTATTCGAGGGAAAGGCGAATATGACTTTCGTATAATCAAAAGTTTTACATTCGCAAGGAAAAGTCATTTTCACTGCAATACCATGTCCTTTGGGACAAATTCTTTAATGAGGCGGAAAAAGAAAAAATACTTCAAGTATTATAATACTTTATCGAGAAAATTAATGATAATTTAACCTACCTACGAGAGAGAGAGAGAGAGAGAGAGAGAGACGGAATTAATTAAATATAACAGGAACGTTATTAACTTTCGATCGAGAAGAAAATAATAAAAATATTCAATCCCCCATCTAATGTTTCAATCCAATACCATAAGGAATACATCCCGATTTTCTAATTATAATAATACTCGATGGAAATCGGATGAAAAGTGACGGGAAACTTTTAATCAAATGAAATTACATCCACCACCACATTGAAATTTAAAATTCCTCCCGAGGAGAAACGCGACGCGTTACGTTCCCCTCGCGCAATTCAAAACTTTCCTACCAAACACACCAATATCTCGCACGCAATATCTCAACAACCAATCACGAAACGCGGCACACTGAAAGTACACATCTCTCCCCAGAATCCCCGTTGGACAAAGCTTCCCTCGAGGCTCGAGCGTGGTCCATTTTCAGGCTGATTCAGCCGCGGAAATCGCGATGCAAACGCAAAACACGAAAAAAAGGGGGAAAGAAAAGAAGAAGAAGAAGAAGAAAAAAAAATAAAGCAAGGCGAGAAAGAGAGGAAAAGGGTTGGAGAGAAGAGAAGACTCCATTATTCCGGCGCGATACCGCGTCGAAACGCGCGATATTCTTTGATCAGTCCTCTGACGAACCTGCGACCAGCTCTCCCCTTCGATGTGCGCGTGTCTATAACTCACCACCCTTTCCCCCTCCTTCCCTCGCTCGCTCAACGTATTACGTACGTTGAACTCTGACCCGGAAACGCGGCGGGGGCGGCTTTGTGCTTGGCCTTCGACAACAGGTCCGCGCGCCGGCTACGCTATCGAGCCGAAGAATGGAAGGACGCGCGTTTCTGAAACGATGGAAACCGCGAGCAATGCGCAAATGTTAATGACTCCTTCGCTTTCTCTCGAAATGCGGGCTTTCGACCTCGATGGAGACGAGTGAAATATACCTATACACGGTCGAGGATTCCTCTTTTCGAGAATTGTGTATGGGAGTTTTTATCTTTCTTTTCTTTTTTTTTTTTTTTTCCCTCCTCCTTTCTCTTTTTCGTTCCTTTATGTCGAGGCGGTGATTTCAAAGAATGAGACTGAATCGATCGAATCGTTTTCTTGAAAGGAGATATTTTTACTTTCGTTAAACATCCGCTAATCGCGTGCTTTTAACCCTTTGCGCTCCAAAGGTGACTCTCAGTCACCAGTCAGTGCAATGCGATAACTCCAGAGGTGACTCTCCGCTACTACTTGGATTGATTCGAAAGATAATATTTATTTATGTTTGATTTTTTTTAAACTATCGCTTCATGAATAGATTCCTAAGCTCTTTAAGTATAATCTTACAAAGTGTAGAATACTATTAAATGGTTAGATTTTTATCTGAAATAAGATCGTGATCGAATTATTTTCGGCGTTAGTCCGAGTTTGACATTCGTGGCGATAGAAATATTATTTTCAAAGTTTCTGAGTTTTGTGAGCGTGGAATTGTAATGAAATTAGTTCAAGTGGAGATGAGTTTGATGTTTCGTTATTAAATAACGAAATGATTGATTAAAAAATTGACGATAGGGAGAAATAGTATAAGAAGATGAAAAATAAGAATAAATGAGACAATAAATGAGAGAGCGCGTTATTGGGATTATAAAGTTTGTAACGATATTTTATCGTGATATTTGCCCTGACAAACCGAGGATGCTTTCTAGTAATTACTTTATTATCAAAATATCACGCAACAATATAGATTTTTAATATTCAACAATTTAATACTCAATAAATTATCTTTCTTCATATGTAAAGATAGATAAAATATTAAAATATAAAAGTTTTATACGTTAATTTGTGTATCATCAATCATTTTAAGTCAGTTAAAAAATTCATCGAACGGGTACAGGAAATCGTGTGGAGTTCGCCCGAGCTAAAAAGGCAAAGGATTAAATTAAATTAATCCATTCCGTAAAATGTATCAAACAATTTATCTACACTTTGTCTAACTCATTTTTCACCCAACTCCTCCATTTGCCTCGACATTCGAATTTCTAGAGTGACAGTGCATCTGCCTATATACATCTCGAACGATGATTCTCCTCCCTCGTATATAAACGTTCTGGGTTCCTCTAGAGATTTGGAGAAAAGGTGAATATCAGGGATTGCTTACTTCTCGAACTTTCTCCGCTCGAGAATCTCCGTCTTGTGCTCCAGCGGGGGTTGAAGCAAGGAGCAAGGGTTGAAAAGGGAAGGTTGAACAACGTTGGCTCGCTCGACGACGCCAGAGATGGATTGGTCGACGGGAAACAAAGGCTCGTCGACGAGGCACCGGAAGAAATGGAAAAATTATGAGGCGGCCGCCCTGATGAACGCGCGTTCCGGGCTCGAGAAATGCTCTTGAGGAACAGCACGTGTTAATATAATTAATTTGTTAGAAGAATGGCAGAGTTCGAGCGTGGATTTTACGCGCAGGTTTTAGTTTCAAGGCTTGGTCGAGGCTTGGAGTGTTTTGGATGCGAATATCATTCGCGTGTGATAATTTCAATTCGGGTTTTTCGTAGTTTGGTTTCAGCCGAGAATTGTTCGGAGGAAGGGTTCCGTAATTAATGAAGTTTTGAGAGATTTGTTGACTAAGGGGTAGAATTTGGTAGAATTTCAATTATTAAACTGGATGCGATTTCACTAGATTTTTCATACGAATTATAGAGCCTTTAGTGCATCAAATAAGATATAAATAAATATATTTATTATTTATTTCGAAAGTCGGTTATTAAAATTGGAAAAACTTTGAACCACTATAATTCCAAAGATAATGATTCTCAATACGATTTTTGATCGAAAAGAAAAAGGTAATTTTTTATTATTCACTCTCACCTAGTTGGATCTCTCGCTCGCACCACAATCTATCCCAAATTTCGGACAAACGTCGCAATTTCTGGATAAACATAGTAAGCATTTCCAGGAAAAAATCCGTCCTTCGTTCAAATGCAGCACGAATAAATTCTAAGATGAGATAAAGGATAAATTGTATCGCAAGAAATTGGTGCAAAATTCAAGGTGGAAAATACGCAGTCAACAACCATTGGAGAGGAGAGGTTGAAACAGTATGATTGATTAATGGTAGATTGACAATTGGTATTGATGAATATAAGGCACACCTGTGACACGATGTTCGCATCTGTATAATGAGCGATCGAGTGAAATACCACTTCGATTCCATCGACGAACGATATTGAAAAATTACATTGTAAATGTGCAGCGTAAATTGCATAACTGGAGACATTGATAAATTCAGTCACACGAAAAAAGAAAAAATACGAACAATAGTTTCTTCGACAACAAAATTTCCAATCAATCTTCCGAGCTCACACGTGCGACGCCGTAAATTACATTTGTCCTAAATACCGACGTATACAAATATAAGTGTATCTATACAACACGCGTACGACAAGAGAACGTGTGTTATTATTAAATCCAGTTTCGATAGAGACGCGGAAACACGGATTCGTCAATTGAATTTTGATCGTCGTCGCCGAACGTTCGTTCCAACTGAGCGATGATTTCGAGTATTAAACAGGCTGGAAATGCAACGGAAGCAAAGAACAATATCCAACGAACAGAAACGAAGGACGAATTCAATCGTCTCGAATCAACGAAACGAAAGTAGCGCAAGTGTTCGCCGCCGTAGATAGAGAATTAGCCGAGGTTTGTTAGCCCGGGTTTGTTAACTTCTAAATTGAATTTCTCGTTCAACAATCTCGAACTTGCCAAATTCGTTTTGCGTCGTGGATGCGGTCGTGGAATAATTCACAGGGCGTAGAATTTCGATTTCGCGATTGTGCGAGCTAATGATCCGCGATGATTGAAAATATATATCGTGCAATTTCGATCTAATAGGAATTCGAAGATGACGACGATTGTTGACTGATTGTTCTGCAAAATTTTTTAGATTTCTGTTCTCGTTGGAATTGACAAATATTGGGGAAAGTCATCAGGGTGAAAGTGCGAGCAGAAATAAAGGGACGAGGATAAGCGAAAAAGAAGATGGAAAGACGAAGGGAGGAGGAAAAATAAAATATGAATAATGTTCAGGTTTTCCTCGAGTCGACGACAAATATTTTTATCGTCATTGTATCTCGCCGCGGCTCGTTCTTGCGCGTGCCACCCCTCGCGTGCTACTCAAGGGTAATGCGTAGCTTTCGAGAGTGAAGTCTGGAAGCCATGAAAGGACCACCCTATCATCTCAGACCGTCTCGAAAGTCTTCTCTGTCAAGGATCTCGAAGAGCTGTTTCGGGGAAACACGAGCTGTTTCGCTCGTTCCTTTATCTCCTGTTTCGCGATCGCGAGAACTGCCAGACACTTTGAATGATCAAATAAGGTATAGATTTTAATACGTGATAATTTCGCATTTACGTTAATAACAAATAAAATTTCTCTCCTATTTCGATCCTCAAAAGAAAAATAGTTCCAACTAAATTTAACAAATGAAAAAAAAAAAAAATAGAGGAAACATGAAAGGATCTTGTAACGTAAATTCAAATTAAAGTTGCTAAAAATCTTCGTTGTACTATTGCAGATATAAAAATGAAAAATTTTATATCGAAAAAGAGCCAGAATATCTCAAGGTCCTTCTTGCAATTGTTATTATTACTGTTTGTTAAAAAATATTTCGAGTGTTAAAGATACACAGAGTGATAGAAAACAGGTGTTTCGCGAAAGCGTCAACGACCGAGCGACAGCACAAAACAGAAATCAATTACACCGCGAGGACGGCTCTTCCAAAATGGTGCGCGTTCGTGGATTATTCTCAGCCTGGTATATTTCCGTTCGACGCATTTCACGGCCGTTCACGGCTAATTCCGTCTCTGCTGGTTTATGGAACAGGCGCACACGCTACCTCCGTGTCACGAAAACCGTGTTCAACTCGAGGAAACGATAATCAGAGTGTCTCGTGACTTTCCATTCCAGAGCTGCTATCCCGCAAAATTCGTAACCGATCGATAGAAACGAGCACGAGTTTGTAACTTTGCTGGCCGAATATGTTGTTGCCAGAAATAATAATTCTGGCAAGAGAAATTTTTCTTTTTATATATTTAATATTCGTTTTAGGGCGAAAACTTTTGGCTTTATCGAATTTCTTTTATCGTTGATATGTTTTTTTTTAAGATATTTTGATTGACTTATCTTATTTTTTACCCAAGAAATAAGAAAAACATATCAAAAATATCGTTATCTATAAAATATATCTGTAAATAAAATCTCGTAATTATCCATATGTTTGTTATATTTTTTTAATTTATAATATTATTAGAAAGTGAGGAAGTATAAGAGAATTGAATGAGGAAGAAGGAATATGGAATATGACGGTAAGGAAGGAAACAGGAAGGAAAATCAGTGACCACGAAATTAGGTCGAATGAAGATGCGGCGTAAAAGTTGTCGACGACTCTTCTAATTACTGGAAATTAAGTTAACGAGAAAAAGATGTCGGAGGGGGGGGACGTCCTCCACGGGATATCTTTCTCGATCGAGCACGATTTCTTTCCTTCATTTTTATTCGTTTCGTATGCGCATCAAAGAGGAACAAGGTCAAGGAACAATCCTCTGACATTTGCGAATCGAATATTACTTTTTTGATCTTGACGAGATTACCATTCGTCCTTGTGTGTTGCGAGACATTTCACGGAAATGTATAAATTGAATGCAAATAAGGGAGAAAAATCGTGAAATTTAATCGTTAAATTGAAAAATCGAACAACTATATAATAAATGATATTGCGAACGTCGAAAACAAGTTAGAAATTTAACGAATAAAGATTTTTTAAATCTATATTTGTTCGCTTAAACTATTTTACAATTAAATATATAAATGAAGTAAAAATATTCACACCGAAAGATTTAAATCAGCCAATATCAAAAAGATTGAAAACATTGCTAATATAATATCACCAATTTATACGATTCCCATCTAACCCTCGAATCCAATAATCATCTCTCGACGGATTGAAACAGCTCGACTAACTCCTCCAATCAAATCTCAATTCTAATTAATTTCATTTCACCGTTCATCAGTATCCAACTCGGCCGATCGTTCGTCTCGTTCGGGTTAATGCCGATCGTTCGAATCGGCGAGTATCGAGGATGGTCTCGCCATTCTGGAGGGTGACCCATTGGAAACTGAGTGGTCTCGTTCAGGACCATTGGGTGCATCGGTTCCTCGACACCCCACGACACTCGTGTCGACACTCGAGAGGAGATGAAGAACATCCCCCCTTACAAGCTTCCAAGCCAACCTCTCCAGATGGAAAATCGATCGCAACTTTCCTATCCTCGAATCGACCCTACGTCGATTAAACTCTACTTATGGGACGAGGGCAATTAAGGGTCATTGGACGTGTAACAATGCACGAGTGTCGTTAGATTAATAGCGATGTGTTCGTGTCCTTTTACATTTTATTAATTTGTTAGAAGTGATGGTGAATTTAATTTTATTTGCATCGGTTAATCGAGTCCAAGAAACCGTTAACATCGCTATTAAATAATAGGTTGTTAAAAAT